TGAACTTTTCGCTAATTGCTGATATTGTGCTTTTAACATTTGATGATATTGCCCATTCAGCATGCCTTATTAGCGTTTTACTTAGTACTACCTAATGCAAAGGGGGTCTATGGAATATGGAAAAAACTCGTTTTTCTTTATGCTTATCGCTGGAAATGTAACCACCGATTTGTTATGAATTCTTTCAAAGGGCTTCCTTTAAAATGTTTGCAAATCGTTATGTTATTTACAATAAGGCACTTTCTTCCTGCATGTAGCATAACTGATTGGCTGCATGCTATGCATGTGCTTAAATTAGCGTTTTGAAAGTGATTGGAGCTTTTCGAAAGCAGCGCCTTGTTCTGGGATTGTGGGGCATGCTGAAAAGGGGAACAAAGGATGTTTTGTGAACGTTCTGCCATTCTGAACCTACGCGTATGGATAACTCAATCTGGAATGAGAACATATGGGAAAAGTCCATTTGTCGTTTCCCTGTTTTATGCTCACTTCCTCTGTAGTTCACAACAAGAAAGAAATTCTGTCGGAGATACTCCTTTTCTAGTCTTTTCCATTTTAATCGCTACAATGTTTGGAATCAAGGGAACTCTTTGTACTTAAGAGCTTAATTTTCTTAGATCAAGTAAAAAAAGTTTTTCGGAATTTTTCCTTATGCTTAGCTTCTGTTGGAGAAGACATACATACATAATAGGGGGCGTAGTCAATTAGAATTCTAAATGCTCAAAATGCAGCTTCGCTGTTGGCAGCAGTTCATGTGAATCCATCTAAGAAATTGTTTATGTGCCTACTAATTTATGCACGCTTCAAAAACTACATTTCTCACACAAGGAGAATTTTTTCCTTTGATGTAGTTCAAGAAAAATAAAAGAATCTCTTGGTTTCTTCCGGCTCCAATTCCTGCGTGGCATAAAAATCCTTAATTTATAAAGGTCCTGCTTCAATCGTTCACGAATCGCCATCTATGATGAATTAAGTATTTGTTCAGCAGCTTAAACCGAACAGATGGCATATGCAGAAATATTAGGCTAACGTTTGACGTCTTTCGTGTTCGCCAGAATGAGGAAGAAAAAAGTTGTTCTCTTCATCTCGGCAGGAACAGATTTCAAGAAGACGTAGAGTCTTAGCTAACAAGTAATCACAGCAGCCAGCGTCCACTTCGCATTTTGCTTGTCGACTGATTCGTCTATCAGTACCTTCATCAGATTCCTGATAACATCTGGATTCAGATTTCTGCTTGTTGTAGCGTTACTCAAACCAATAAAGAGAGAAATGCTTGGATAAAAACCGGGAAAACTCCTTTACTTCATAAAAATGGTAAAATTAGCCACTCACTACAATACAAACGCAAAGGTCTACACAGCGCAGTTCAACAAATACTCCAAGAAACTCTCACTGTTCAACTTATCCGTAAGAGAGTCAACAGCCATTAATAGACCCTTTCGCAGATTTTGGCAAATAATAAAAACGAAACTTCCTAACATTCGCTCTTGATATGTCGTTCAGGAGTGTTCGAACG